AACCGAACAGCTTGTGAGCGATATACAAGAGGGCACTAAACGATCGGATCGACAAAAGCTATAAAACTAAATGTTGATATCTAAATGATAAATTGGGAAGCTATAAAATATGTGCTGGTGTGGCGCGGCGTATGCGCTTGTGTGCAAATGAATCGGCGCGCCGTGCGAAGGACGCGGCCGCATTCCTCCGCCGCCGGAGATGACACACATAGCCGCATCGCACCGCACAGCTCGTGTGTGCGTGCGCGACGCTACGTCACGCGTGCTCCACTCTCCCACTGCACCAGCCTCAGTAATCACGCACTTGTTTTCTTCAAAACAAGTAGAGATCGAGAGGAATTTCGAAATTATTAACATGCACGCGTTGACGCAAAAGAAAAGAGTGACAATCCGTAATCATCGCCTACGTAACTGCGTCATAGGCTTTAGTGCTTCGACATCTGATTACTTTAAACTGTACGTGCGCACTATTTGATGATATTGCAGAATGAGTCGAAACTGTTTAATTACAGTCCATGTAGCGATAGAGCCGCTAATCTAGCCGGCGGCCACCGCCGAAGCGAATCGCATACAAATGTGCCGACGACCGGAGCAAAAACAGCTGAATAACCCTCTTGCTATCCTACCTCGTAGGAGCTTTATATCGTAATCATGCGGTCACGGTGCTCCGTGCATTTCACAATTACATCTCGAATACTTTCGTGTCGGTTATTTTGTGTTCTTTATGAAGACAATGAACTACGTCATTTGTCAAATGCAGCTAAAGCATGTGCCAAGTGCGCCAGTGGCGACATTAGGACATGGCCGCAGACTGAACGTTATTCAGATTATATCTGACCTAGTAAGCTTAGCGGTTGTTTTATTTAAAGTTTTTGGTTAAAAAAATAAATTTAAACATACCAGACAATGGCATTATTAAGTTAGTAATAACTTTAAACATTATTAAGGTGTATAACCAGAAAATTGTGTGAAAAAGTCCTAAATATCAAGACACTTTACAGTACAAAACAAAAAATAAAATAACAACGTGAAAATATTTTAAGTTGTAAAAAGGCTTGCACAACAGCAACGATTATTTTGATTGTACAAATAAATTTTGATTGTTTTATTGAGAAAAAATATCAATTAAGACATTCAATGAAAGCGTGCGAGTGTATAATTGGTCCACGAACAAATCGAAAGTCGCACGAGAAGACCGTCCGTGCAAGTAATTATTGTAGGATGTCATTTCACTTTGTATAAAGTGAAAATTCTAATATGAAGTCTATATAAAAATTCTCGCTTTAGTAACCTAAACCATAAACTTTAGTATTTTTGATTTATTCATTGCGGTTTTGTAGTTATTAATTAAGTTTTAGAGCTCTAACCCTTATGGAATCATTAGGTTATCAAACGTTTAATTATTATCAGATTACACGATACAAATTACTTATTGTTTCAAATAATGCTGTAAATTGTTGGCAGCGACATAATATTGATAACTGTCGGTTAGGCAGCGAATTAGTCACATCGTTGATAGGACAACAATTCAGGAGCGGCATTCGGAATTCCGGGAAGATAACTGTTCCTGTCATCGCGGCTTTGTTTGCGGCCGCCTGTGACCTGCCGGCAATCACTCGGGGAGGGGGCTTGGGGGGGTGAATGCCTGCGACTAGATGAAATGTTTGAGGCGCCTTCTAATTTGCGATATCCGACCTTCTAACCCCGAAGCCCCGCTTTGATATTTGAGATTTTAATAGCTTAGGAAACATAATCAACTTTTTGTACTTTTAATCAAAGCAACAGTATAAATAGACGAGTAAAGTAAATCCAAGTAAAGCAACGATATAAATGCAATTCTATTTCACAATCAACTATGAAGAAATTACTTAGTATTCTTGTGTCAAGTATTTTTAAATATATAAATTCTGCAATTTAATAATTTTACTAACAGAAACGATGTAATCAAACCACGATGATTGGAAAGCGAAGCGACTTATAAAGGTTAAATATTTGTGAAGGAAAAAGCTTTATAACGGTCACAAATCACAATATAATGGTAAAACAGAGAAGGATGAGCTGGGCAATAAAGACTATGTAAGTGTTAAATTGCTACGTTGTGAGTAAATCTTCAGTTTATTCCAGCCTCGTTGCTCTAAGTTACGCTACTTGAGTGGCAGTCAGCTGTAGCCGCTTTTATTACTTATGCTAGGGTGCTGAAGATTCCATTTATTTTATCGTTACTTAGTAATTCATTAGTACTAGAATGTCGTAAGTTTCAACGGAGTAAAACTCAAATTACGTATTTCGAAAACGCATTTCACGAAGTTATCGAACCAAAAACACCGCTGAATGGATAGCTGGGAAACCGACCATTAGCCTTGTAATTACCTAGTATACAATAGGTTTAAAATACCCATATCAAGGGTTTCTTGTTCGTTTCTAAAACCATATATGGGTCCAGATAATAAGTTTCGAAAACAGGATCATTAAATCGTTAAAAAAATATACCTAAGACATAAAGTATTAACATTAAGCGGTCTATAAATAACTCATAAAGGAAGCAAACAAAGACAAAGTCGAACAATATGATTCATGAGTAAGGGCTATAAAGGACGCGTAGTGTGTTTGCGGAGGAAGGGACGGTAGGGGATTATCTGCAAACGACGCGACGCTGCCGACGCGACATGGCGACGCCTTGTCCTCTTCGAAGGACTTCACGCCTCCCAACAACCGCTAAGTAACAGGCTATTAATACATGGGACAGTATTTTCATTTTCCTTTATACCAATATATTCATCCAAGCAATATTAGTACTTATTACAATGCTCGTAAGTTACGATTTTACAGATATGGCACTGTCTAGTAAAAAAATTGAAAACTAAAGAATTACTAAATCCTTATTATAAAATTAAAACTAAAGCTAGATATTCATCGTTGGATTTCATATTTAAGTCTGAATGTATGCATTTTTTTTAATGGGAAATTCAACTAAAACAGCTTACACAGCTTAACAGCTACGTCTCGTTATACCACTAAATACGGCAATCTACGTGAGACACGTTGAATCTCCCATCTGGGAAAACATTCCCTCATTACACTTATCAGCACAATTAGAGATAATTGGCTTAATCACCCACACCAACAGCGGTCTGCTCCGACCGCGTCGCGTCGGCCTTGCACTGACTGGTCACAATTCGGACAATCATTGTACTTTACTAAATTGTAACAATAACCTTTGTTCTTGTACTCTTATTATATGCAATAATTACTTTAACAATTATAGGTATTTATCTGAATTATCTACAAAATTTATCTACCGGTTTACAGACATTATAATGATTTGGAATACCTACTTTTAAATATGACAAAATCTATTAATAACAGTCAAAGATTTAAAGTTCGAAAGCCATTAATCAAATATTATCCGATTCCTTTCGTCACGCACGCACTTAAGACACTGTTCTTCGACCAGAAATAATATCAGCTGTTAGGCTGTTACGCTCTCCCTAATCTCATTTTCAAAACGTCTCCGATAAAAAATAGATTTCTTTATTTAAAAAAAAACTTAATCTTCGCCTTGTTAAAATTTACGATAAAAAACAAGCGAGTTTTGAATACTTTTTTGTTTTTGTAAACGTCACAATTCGTTGGAAAAAACGTATTAGTCGACCACCACGGAAAGGAGGGACCGCCACAAGTCGCAATCATTAAGAGTATATATTTTACCCTAATTCCCCGGCCTGTACACCCACGCACTCTAAGCGGATTGAAGGCTTATCGCCTTACCGCACTGCTCACCTATTTTTTTCAGTGCTAAATATAGTTATAAAAGATAAGGACGTTATTTACTTGTAAGAAAAAAACGATAGCGTCGCTTTGATCCCGGAGGCTTTCCGGGGCGGTTTTTCGAATTCCGTGACTCAAATAATTAAGTCCGAATATGGGGGTTGGTGGGTGAAAATTATACATTGTTATTACAGCTATAAATCTCATTTTCGGTGAGCGAGCTTGTTCAGAATAATAAGTGCAACAAATATTTTTAATACAAGTACCGTCGTGAGGGCAACACTTTATTATTAAAAAAATACAACAATCATCTCTAGTGTTAGATTGTAAAGTTGCGATGTGATCAAACTAGTGTATTTTTCATTTGTAGAACTATTAAATGTTTGGAGTATTCCTTCCTTTGGGAAGTAATTACAAGCTCAAAGAGTTCAGTGTCAAAGATTTGTTTGCGTTGCGTCTAATAGTGTTTTAAGTCCATACATTGCCTAACCTCCATCTTTTATGTCATTATCGACTCAAAGCTATCTTCATTTTACTTATCAGTCAGTCAACAATCACTTTTTAGTTACATTTATTGATTTGCGTAGTCAATAAGTACCAGTAACACGTAGAACAATTATGGAAATTAATAGAAATCGTATGAAAGTAAGGCATACTGGGAAAGTGGACACATGTATTCTATTCAAGGCGTCTACGTTAGATATGACGCAATAGACTATTGCATTACAAAGGTCATTTGGCTGAGCCAAGGCACGTTATATCGTTCTCGCGAGTTTCTAAAGGATATTGCAAGGATGCATTGCTCTGTACACTGAATACAGTAGGAAACAATAAATTCCATTTTACTACCGTTTATTTGTATTCTTTTTATCTTTTAAATTTATATTATTTCAGTATTAAACGTTACATATGTAGTGTTTATACATTTTTCTGTATTTGTAGAACTTATTATTTTCAAATATGTTCTTATCCTACTGCGGAAAATGGTTATTACGAAATGATTTATTGTTTACAACGGACTGTGTTATCCGCTTTTGAAAATTGTCTAGAATGATTTTCTTCTGATTGTCATGGGGATGCTGTTAGTCGATGTTGTTCGTTTTTACATTAATTAATAATTTACATGAACCTTGAAAAATATATCGCGGTAAAAAATTACGATGATTATTGAGATCATTTTTTGTGCTAATTAGTGTTTTACGGTTTTAACAGCATTTTTATTTACATTTCAGAGCAGCGGCGGTTGCCGTTCGTCGAGCGTAGAGGGCGCGAGCGCGGTGACAGTCGCGAGCGCGGGTGGGGGCGGGGGCGCGGGCGCGGGGGAGAGCGCGGCGCGCATGGCGAGCGCGGGCGCGCAGTACCGCGGCGGGCAGCAGCAGTGGGGCGCGGCGTATGCGCAGCCCTGCCGCTACCCGCCGCCCCAGCCGCAGTCCTACGCGGCACCTAGCTACACCCCCCATCAGGTAACAATTATTTTTTTACTTCTTTAAACTTCAAAAAAAGTTGTGAAGACCTGTGTGTAACATTCTTAACACTGTGAATTTACATTTTAATTTTTGTATATTGTTTTTAAATTAGGCTTAGATAAAGTGATTAAACTATGATAGATAGAAATAAGATTTGAATGTAAATTTATTTTTTAACTTAAAAATTAAGATACACCCGCTCCCTAGGTCCCTGACTAAAAATGTGTTGGGGGAACAAAAGGGCAGCATAAAGGCGTCATAAAATAAACATCCTTAACACTCAGGTCTTCACAACTTGCTTACTACATTTGTACCCCAAAGGGATATGAAGGCACTTTAACACTGTGTACTAGAAAATAAACTGGACTACGGTTGTCTTATCGCTATCAATCGAACTAAGCTGACTATGAGGGTAGTATAACAAAAACATACTTCTGCCTTCGCAAGTCTATGAAGCGTTACATCTAATTATTTCTTTAATTTTCTCACAAGAATAGCATTTTGTTGCCCATTACTGGCGTTCATCTCTTACGTGTATTAAGGAGGTACTCTTTGATAATAATTAAGCAAAAAAAATATTTTGAGGATTTGTTACTGTGCATTTACATATACAGACTAAGTAGTAACGCATACACACAGGCGCTCAGTGAGCGTTGCTAATCCTATTAGCATCTGCGATTCCATTTACTGTGACCTCCTAAGGACAATGTCACTTGCATTTGGACAAAGCTATTAACTAGAATTATTAACCAAGACAAAGTCTACCGTATTACGATTTTGATGACGCCATTTAAACGTTTAGAAGTGAGTAGAGTTTACTAAGAATTTTATATATATATGAACTTAAAATTAGGGACATTGTCTGGAATAGGCAGTTCTTTTTTAAAAAGAGATTTATTTAATAAGTGATGTAGATTTTTAAAATAAAAATTATAATTCTAATTATCGAAAATATGATTTCTTACATTTGATGTCTATGAAATAATTGGTTCTTTATATTCGTAATGGATATATCCATTTATACTTTTCTGGTTAGTTTATAGGAAGCAATTTTTACAACTCATGTATTGTAGTTTGGCAAACATTCAAGTGTATAAACATTATTTATACCAGACGGTTTTTGCGTCTACCAGCTATAGTTTGCAGAAATTATTTACAATGTATTGTAATAAGCTATGTATAACCAATGGTTCTATTTAGGATTCATATAATTAAATTTTAATGTTATTACTTCAATTTTAATAAGATCTATTTTTTTTCTTCCTATATATGTTATAGCTTACTAAAAACCTTATATGTTAGTAATACTAATTAGGTAGTGACTATATTTTAAATTTAACATTTCGACGACCCTGTTTACTCTTGAATAGATGAAAAAAAAAGTATTTTATTTTCTAATTTATGAAGACATCGTAATATCAACAGTCACGATTCAAAGATCCATTTCCAAAATATTTATTAGGAAGAAATCTCTTGTAATATATCCACAATAAATAGAATCAATCACAGAGTTCGGCGCCAGTTCTCAATCTAATGAGGAAAGTTTGCCAATGGATTTATGACCGATGGAAAGTAATACTGTATCGCAAACATACGCCGAGCTAAATAATAGACCATTCTTTAAAAAAATATCTGATTTCATTACATTTCTAATAATTTTTATCATTTTAGTGTACTAAAATGTTAAAATTGTAAGTCACAATTATATACCTCGGAGCCAAAGAGATTCAAAAGATGTAGCCATAGTTGACATTTCACTTGAGACATTTTTAAGACTATATATAGACTCAAAACCACATGTCAATATAATTATTTGTTAATAGGAGTCATTAAATAATATTTAAAGGGTTATATTTTATTTTGTGGCACTGTTTAATTTATTTTATAACAAAAGATGAAAGTTATTATGATTTTGTAAACGTCAATACAAGGACGCGAGGTGGCGTTTTAAACTTGACAAATGATATATTACCGATCAGAGAAATTACCGGTGAAAATTTCTTCACTATGCTTAGTCTATATTTCTTAAATGTCTTTGGTTGCCGTATTAAACGTTAACAAAATGCACCATACGGAGTATATGCATTGTAATCATATCATAGTGATGTCGTAAATAACTCAAGTAATTTACGGCATAGAATATTGAATACAAAGATTTCTGATATGAGCTATTATTAAACATAATTAACTGTGAATTGAGCGCGTTGACACGGCTCCATCAATTTCTTACCCCCTCCCTCTCGCCCCTCGTATCCTCGCTCGTTATGCATAATACAGCCTACATTGTTATATGATTAATGTTTTCTTGGGCCACTTAAACAGGGCACTGAAGCGTGATTTGCATAAAACTAGTTAATGTACAAGTTTCAGATTGGTTTAATACACTTCGCTTTTCACTTTATATGGGGTTTCGGGTTGAACGTAGACGGAGCGTACTCTGTTATTACAGGAGTTTTTAGACGCCGCTCGTCGGTCGATCGACGATAAACAGTTTTGTGGGGGCGCGAACACTGGTTGCTTCTATTCAGAAAACACGAGACGGTCTGGTTAAAGCAATGTTCATTTTTATGAGAGTATACATTTAATGAACATACTTTTTTAAAAGTAGAGTCGAAATAAACAATCTTTTATTAATATCATTCAGCTTGTCATATGGATATTTATTTAAGAAATATAAAAATATTTCGAGCGTTTTTTTTTTAATATTAACATTACACAAGTGAATGCATCATGGTGTTTCTGTTAGGTTAATGAAATAAACAAATGAATTACAACTCGAAATTAAGCAGGCCCATCATTAGTCTATGTTTTTAAAATGTTTATGTTTTTATGTCTATGTTTTTAAAATTTAGTCTAGTCTCTGATGTAATCCCAAAACCATTCAAAATCGATTAACTTGAATACAAACGGACAAGTTTTGCAAGGTTAGTCAAGTAATTTATTTTTATCTACTTTTATTGGCTACTTATTGGATATTTACAAAATAATATTCATGATATTTGAATCGTATGAGTCATAAATACATCTTCGATGTCAAATAGAAAGAAATGTTGATGGATTACGACCGAGGACTAAGATTGAAGACCTCATTATCAATCTTCCGTGCCAACTATTAATTTAGATGCTATTCTACGCAGTGTCTTAATAAATATGACCCTGAGTTTCCATTCGTATTAAAACATAGTGTTAACATTATTTTTAAAGAGACAAAATTTTAGCCGGCTTATATTTTGTCGGCTTAAATAGTTCATAGTGTCAATCAGTCGATGAATACTGGTAGAGTACAAATAGTACAAATGGCCAATATTTTCTAAAGGCAATAGACTTAGTTGATACAGTTGAAGGGGCAAGACACAAACCAGATGTCGCACAAACCCCTGCAACGCCCCCTCGCGAGGACTTCGTAAAAGGAATTTCTCGAGTCCTTATCGCTTTCTGAAATAAAATGTACCGCGTCGTAGTCGTACGTGTTTTATTACAGCGTCTCTGCTACAGAATTTATCTCGATGTTCGAGCTTTAGGGTTCCGCGTTCTTTGTTTTTATGATCCAACGAAATGAAGGGTGTTCGATGAGTATATTTAAATCTTTTTTTATGGTTTGGAATATAAAAAAAAATGTTACAGTATGGGGATGTAGGGGAAGCCACTTTTACTTGTCCCTTGGGCATTATAAGTGATTGAGGAAATAAATAAATCAAGGGGAAGATTTAACTTGCCACAAAATGTGTTTATCCTGTATACTTTTCCGTTTTGATTCGAGATATTAATCAGACGTAAAATTTAAATATAATTTTTAATATATGTAAATAACTAAAATCTCAACAGAGAAACCAATTAGATATCAACTTAATTTGCAATACTTCGCTTCGTAAGTGCCGATTACAGTGACGGATGGCAAGTTTTTTTAAAAAAAGTAAGTGTAAGCATGTCATTTAAAATGCTATTACTCTGTTAGTTACATACATTCTTAATTATATATTTTTTTAAATATGTGAGATATATTCAACAAGTATTTATGAAATAAATATTGTACATTGTACAAGTTTTACACATACGGAACCGTTTGAAAGTATTCTATTAAAGTGCTAAGATGCTTCCGTATAACAAAGAAAAAGTCCTAATAAAAGACTCGGGAGAAAATGTACCGAGCCACCGTGAATGAAGTATTTTCTTTAGAACAGCTATGCGGTGTATTTTAAAGAATTTTACGAACTTCGATTCTGCGGTTTTTTACTCTTTGCAACTATCTTACGAGCCATCCTTCACGAACTGAGATCCGACGAGTAAACGACTGAGAAAAACGAAAGATAAAAATGTATTCTTAGTTGTTTTAATTTACTAGAAAGTTGTAGAATACATTCTTACAAACTGTATTCATATCAAAATAGCTGCTTCAATAATAATTCCTATTAAATAAATAAAAATATGTTTACGTTTATGATTGAAAATAAATTTCACAGAAGCGTTGCGTCGCGTCGCGTGTTTCGAGTGGCCCTTACGCTTTGTATTGATTAATGCAATTAAACTTTCGTTAGGGTGTTGAAATAACAATAAAAACTTTATCGCACAGACAGAATGTAATTTGAAATGCTGTCATTACCTTTTGTTGTTTATGACCTACGTACAAAGAGTAGAAACACATTTACACGTCAGATTAGGTAAAAAACTTTATCTTTTCTTTTGAACTAATTGTTTGGTCTCCCAAATAACCTTATTTAAAAAATACTCTAGTGAAAAACAAACTTCTACAAACCGCAACAAAAAATAGTGACAGTCTTTTGACATAAACATCGATGCCATAAAAACGAAATAAATACCCAATGACCCTTAGCAGTCATAAAAGCGCAGTTAAAATCTATCAATTTGAAAAGTTTATTTTGTTTAGGTTGGGCGGCGCTTTACGGAAGCCACGACTGCGCCGCTGCGATACTACGCTCTGTAAACAATGCATAATACTGACTAAGGAACTTTAAACAATCGACAAACTACGTAGATAA